TCCCCGCCGCCGCCGGAGCCTCGGCAGACCTGTGCGGAGGCAGCGCGGCTCCTCGGGGTCTGCCTCCCTTTTGCTCGCCTGGTGACCACGAGAGGAACCCGCAGTCCCACCCACAGTTCCACATGCTGCCTGCAAGTCAGGGCAGGGTTAGGTCTGGCACCTTGGGAATCTGCTGGAGTGGAGAGCTGCTGGTGGCTCTGTGCTGGACTGGATCTAGGCAAAGCCCTTCCCTCTCCCAGGGGTGATGAAGAAACGCAGAGGTTTCCAGACTTGCGTAGCCAGGGAGGGGCTTTTCTGTTTGGGGGTTGGGGCTTTTTCTGTTGGTTTTTACTTTTTTTCTTTTGTTTTTGGTTTTTTTTTTTTTTGCATGAAGTGTTCTTACAACTGTATGGGGCTGGAGCTGCTGTAGTAGTATTTGTTTCAGGGTATTTAAGAAGGGAAGGAAGGAACTGGGTGGCAAAAATTTCTAGGGAATTGTTTACCACCCCATGCCAGTGTTCATATTTTATTCCTACAGGAGCAGCCTTCTTTTGAAATAGAGATCAGCTCCACGAAAGGTCTGTCTGGTTTGCATCTCCATCATTGTCGTGTGGAGGGAGGAGGGTGGGATTTGGGAGCATGGGAGAAAGCAAGCTGAGCAAAAGTTTCTGATGTTCTGCACTGCAACTGTCTCACACTTCGCTTCTGTGGCTGCGACCCAGAAGGCGGAGCTGGGTATGGATCCTTAAATTCTGGCAGTGACCATTCCACAGCCCTGCGTCTTGGCCAGCGCCGATGGCGTATTGCTCACTGCCGGGGGGCCGAGCGGAGCAGCCTGCACCACGCCTGGGCGAGTCACCTCTCCCCAGGGAGGCCACGCTTGGGCCCTTCCCAAGAAGTGAGGAGGGAGGACCTGAGCCAAGCTGCTGCACATCCCAGCAGGGCTCCCTCTGAGCGGGGAGAGGCAGGCACGAGCTGCAGCGTGGTGCTCGGCTGCGACGGCAGCTCCGACAGCTTCGTGGAGGGCTGCGCTGCCTGGCACTGCCCCCAGGACCTGCTCTGGCCCGGGTCAGGCAACAGTACAGCGTGAGACCCAGCTTTTATGCTATTTAAAGCTCTTCTCATCCCTTATGCATTTTATATCCTCAAAGTGCAAACCTAGCATCACTGGAGAACTGCACCAGACCCACAGCAAAGACAGTTTGACCCATTGGCAGTCTAGGTTGAGTGCTAGAAGGTCTACAAGTCATGCAGCAAGTCACAAATAGAGGGAATCTGCAGTTAATCTTCTGCTTCCATCCTGCAGGAAGCTCTCCTTGTTTCACAGCCTTCAACCACTTCATGTCAGGCTAAGAGTCAGCCAGGGCCAGGTTCTGTTTAAAAAAAAAAAAGCCATGAAAAACCCCCAGTGCTCTGAAAAGTACAAGTTCTAGGCTGCTGCTTCTCCTCGTAGCCAATATGAAGCCGAAGTCCAGGTGTGGACAAGGTGCAGTCCCAGGCCCCCAGGTCTCTCATTATGGCATGTAAAATCAGCATGGAGAGCGCTGCCGAGCTCAGACTGTGGCTGGGGTATCTGGGTACCAACAAGAAGGGGGTGCTACGCACTGGTCACGTGGGGATCCTGAAATTGTGCCTCCTCTCGAGACTCAGCAGCCCAATGTACGGTATCCTGAGGGGGTGTAGCCCCCTGGGAGTACTGCTTCTGCCTGGTGCGGGACGTATTGCACCCAGACATCTCGTTAAGTGCGAATTCCTCCGCTCGGCTCTTGTGAACATCAGCACTTGGGCAGTAGGAGCAAACGCAGCCCGTTCACCGAGCTTTCTGTCCATTGCAAAGAAATGGCGCTGGTGCTGTCTGCTCCTGGACGCTTTGCTGCTGGAGCTGCCCTGGCCCTGGCGGGGTGCGGGGCGCTGTTGCCCTGCGTACGCCGTACGTTGAGGCCAGTGTTGCTCTTCAGCGGTTGCTGGT